ACATGAGAGAACGCACATGAGAGAACGCACATGAGAGAACGCACATGAGAAAACGCACATGAGAAAACGCACATGAGAAAACGCACATGAGAGAACGCACATGAGAAAACGCACATGAGAGAACGCACATGAGAAAACGCACATGAGAGAACGCACATGAGAAAACGCACATGAGAGAACGCACATGAGAGAACGCACATGAGAGAACGCACATGAGAGAACGCACATGAGAGAACGCACATGAGAAAACGCACATGAGAAAACGCACATGAGAGAACGCACATGAGAGAACGCACATGAGAGAACGCACATGAGAGAACGCACATGAGAGAACGCACATGAGAGAACGCACATGAGAGAACGCACATGAGAAAACGCACATGAGAAAACGCACATGAGAAAACGCACATGAGAGAACGCACATGAGAGAACGCACATGAGAAAACGCACATGAGAAAACGCACATGAGAAAACGCACATGAGAAAACGCACATGAGAAAACGCACATGAGAAAACGCACATGAGAAAACGCACATGAGAAAACGCACATGAGAAAACGCACATGAGAAAACGCACATGAGAAAACGCACATGAGAGAACGCACATGAGAGAACGCACATGAGAGAACGCACATGAGAGAACGCACATGAGAGAACGCACATGAGAGAACGCACATGAGAGAACGCACATGAGAAAACGCACATGAGAAAACGCACATGAGAAAACGCACATGAGAGAACGCACATGAGAAAACGCACATGAGAAAACGCACATGAGAGAACGCACATGAGAGAACGCACATGAGAGAACGCACATGAGAAAACGCACATGAGAGAACGCACATGAGAGAACGCACATGAGAAAACGCACATGAGAGAACGCACATGAGAAAACGCACATGAGAGAACGCACATGAGAGAACGCACATGAGAGAACGCACATGAGAGAACGCACATGAGAAAACGCACATGAGAGAACGCACATGAGAGAACGCACATGAGAGAACGCACATGAGAGAACGCACATGAGAAAACGCACATGAGAGAACGCACATGAGAGAACGCACATGAGAGAACGCACATGAGAGAACGCACATGAGAGAACGCACATGAGAGAACGCACATGAGAGAACGCACATGAGAGAACGCACGCACATGAGAAAACGCACATGAGAGAACGCACATGAGAGAACGCACATGAGAAAACGCACATGAGAGAACGCACATGAGAGAACGCACATGAGAGAACGCACATGAGAGAACGCACATGAGAGAACGCACATGAGAGAACGCACATGAGAAAACGCACATGAGAGAACGCACATGAGAGAACGCACATGAGAGAACGCACATGAGAGAACGCACATGAGAGAACGCACATGAGAAAACGCACATGAGAAAACGCACATGAGAAAACGCACATGAGAGAACGCACATGAGAAAACGCACATGAGAGAACGCACATGAGAAAACGCACATGAGAGAACGCACATGAGAAAACGCACATGAGAGAACGCACATGAGAGAACGCACATGAGAGAACGCACATGAGAGAACGCACATGAGAGAACGCACATGAGAGAACGCACATGAGAGAACGCACATGAGAGAACGCACGCACATGAGAAAACGCACATGAGAGAACGCACATGAGAGAACGCACATGAGAAAACGCACATGAGAGAACGCACATGAGAGAACGCACATGAGAGAACGCACATGAGAGAACGCACATGAGAGAACGCACATGAGAGAACGCACATGAGAAAACGCACATGAGAGAACGCACATGAGAGAACGCACATGAGAGAACGCACATGAGAGAACGCACATGAGAAAACGCACATGAGAAAACGCACATGAGAAAACGCACATGAGAGAACGCACATGAGAAAACGCACATGAGAGAACGCACATGAGAAAACGCACATGAGAGAACGCACATGAGAAAACGCACATGAGAGAACGCACATGAGAGAACGCACATGAGAGAACGCACATGAGAGAACGCACATGAGAGAACGCACATGAGAAAACGCACATGAGAAAACGCACATGAGAGAACGCACATGAGAGAACGCACATGAGAGAACGCACATGAGAGAACGCACATGAGAGAACGCACATGAGAGAACGCACATGAGAGAACGCACATGAGAAAACGCACATGAGAAAACGCACATGAGAAAACGCACATGAGAGAACGCACATGAGAGAACGCACATGAGAGAAACGCACATGAGAAAACGCACATGAGAAAACGCACATGAGAAAACGCACATGAGAAAACGCACATGAGAAAACGCACATGAGAAAACGCACATGAGAAAACGCACATGAGAAAACGCACATGAGAAAACGCACATGAGAAAACGCACATGAGAGAACGCACATGAGAGAACGCACATGAGAGAACGCACATGAGAGAACGCACATGAGAGAACGCACATGAGAGAACGCACATGAGAGAACGCACATGAGAAAACGCACATGAGAAAACGCACATGAGAAAACGCACATGAGAAAACGCACATGAGAAAACGCACATGAGAAAACGCACACGAGAAAACGCACATGAGAAAACGCACATGAGAAAACGCACATGAGAAAACGCACATGAGAAAACGCACATGAGAAAACGCACATGAGAAAACGCACATGAGAAAACGCACATGAGAAAACGCACATGAGAAAACGCACATGAGAAAACGCACATGAGAAAACGCACATGAGAAAACGCATATGAGAAAACGCACATGAGAAAACGCACATGAGAAAACGCACATGAGAAAACGCACATGAGAAAACGCACATGAGAAACGCACATGAGAGAACGCACATGAGAGAACGCACATGAGAGAACGCACATGAGAGAACGCACATGAGAGAACGCACATGAGAGAAAGCACATGAGAAAACGCACATGAGAAAACGCACATGAGAAAACGCACATGAGAAAACGCACATGAGAAAACGCACATGAGAAAACGCACATGAGAAAACGCACATGAGAAAACGCACATGAGAAAACGCACATGAGAAAACGCACATGAGAAAACGCACATGAGAAAACGCACATGAGAAAACGCACATGAGAAAACGCACATGAGAAAACGCACATGAGAAAACGCACATGAGAAAACGCACATGAGAAAACGCACATGAGAAAACGCACATGAGAGAACGCACATGAGAGAACGCACATGAGAGAACGCACATGAGAGAACGCACATGAGAGAACGCACATGAGAGAACGCACATGAGAGAACGCACATGAGAGAACGCACATGAGAGAACGCACATGAGAGAACGCACATGAGAAAACGCACATGAGAAAACGCACATGAGAAAACGCACATGAGAAAACGCACATGAGAAAACGCACATGAGAAAACGCACATGAGAAAACGCACATGAGAAAACGCACATGAGAAAACGCACATGAGAAAACGCACATGAGAAAACGCACATGAGAGAACGCACATGAAAACACACGAGATGACATAAAGTACATGCGAGGCAGACAGACACAGAGACACCGACAGGCACAGAGTGACACAGACAGACAGCATGATGGTGAGAGGTAGGAGGTAATGCGTGCCAGCACCAACACCATTCGGTACCCGGGGTTCACAAGCAACGACAGCACGGACGCCAGGTGGCTACTTTTGAGGCGCCTCAAAAGGGGTTCACGAGCAACGACAGCCTCAAAAGTAGTTGGTGATGCTGGTGGTTGCTCATGAACCCCGGGTAAAGAATCGTGTTGGTGCTGGAGCCTTTGCCATCACACGCTGCAGATAGACAGGGACAGACACAAAATGACACAGACAGGCAGATACAGACAGAAACAAGACACAGACAGACAGACAGACACAGACAGACAGACACAGACAGATACAGAAAGAAACAGACAGAAACAGACGGACACAGACAGACACAGGCAGAAAGCCACACACACGCTCATACCCACACACACACCCACCTGCCTCTGCACAGTCAGGGGCGTGTAGCTGGAAACCAGAAAGTGGCAGAGCGGCGTGGGCACCAGGGAAGACACCATTGACGCCAGATCATTACTCATGAACCCCGGGTACCGAATCGTGTTAGTACTCGCAGCCATGACCATCGCACTCTCACAGACAGACACCAACAGAGGCACAGGTACAGGCACAAGCACACAGGCACGTGAACACACCTGCCTCTGCATGGTCAATGGCGTGTAGCTGGACACCAAAAAGTGGCAGAGCGGCGTGGGGACCAGGGACGACACCATTGAAGCCAGGTCATTATTCATGAACCCCGGGTACCGAATCGTGTTAGTACTCGCAGCCATGACCATCGCACTCTCACAGACAGACACCAACAGAGGCACAGGTACAGGCACAAGCACACAGGCACGTGAACACACCTGCCTCTGCATGGTCAATGGCGTGTAGCTGGACACCAAAAAGTGGCAGAGCGGCGTGGGGACCAGGGACGACACCATTGAAGCCAGGTCATTATTCATGAACCCCGGGTACCGAATCGTGTTAGTACTCGCAGCCATGACCATCGCACTCTCACAGACAGACACCAACAGAGGCACAGGTACAGGCACAAGCACACAGGCACGTGAACACACCTGCCTCTGCATGGTCAATGGCGTGTAGCTGGACACCAAAAAGTGGCAGAGCGGCGTGGGGACCAGGGACGACACCATTGAAGCCAGGTCATTACTCATGAACCCCGGGTACCGAATGGTGTTAGTACTCGCAGCCATCACCATCGCCAGGTGACTTTTGAGTCGACTCAAAAGTTACCGAATGGTATTAGTACTCGCAGCCATGACCATCGCCACCAGTGAGTTGGACTCGGCGAACGTCGGCTGGTGCAGCCTCAGCCTCTCCGCCGCAATTCTATCCAGTGCTGTGTTGTCAAGAACCACCACGGACAAACACATGCACACACGCACACACGCACACATGCACACACACACACACATGCACACATGCACACGCGCACCTGTCTCTGCACAGTCAGCGGCGTGTAACTCGAAACCAGGAAGTGGCAGAGCGGCGTGGGCACGAGCGACGACACCATGGACGCCAGATCGTTGCTCATGAACCCCGGGTACCGGATCGTATTCGTGCTCGCAGCCATGACCATCGCCACCAGCGAGTTGGTCTCGGCGAACGTCGGCTGGTGTAGCCTGAGTCTCTCCGCCGCGATTCTATCCAATGCTGTGTTGTCGAGGACAACCACGCTGTCGGCATGCTGAGTCAGCCGGCGGAGAGTCAGCAGCGAGTTGTACGGCTGCACCACCACGTCAGACATTTCTGATTGGTTCGGGAAGACGCTGTAGGTCTGCACGAGCTTCTTGGGGTAGCGGTCGTGCAGCTCCTCCAGGAGGTATGACCCCATGCCTGTAGGTCCGGGACAGAGAGGGAAGAGAAACCTACAGGTGTGAGACAAAGCCCTTGGGAATAGAGGCGAGCGCTCCAGAACATGCTGCAGATCTGCACGAGCTTCTTGGGGTATCGATCGTGCAGCTCCTCCAGAAGATATGGCCCCATGCCTGTAGGTGCGGGACAGAGAGAGAATACACATGGCAAATCTTCGGAAAAGATGACGTTGAGGGCCTGCACGAGCTTCTTGGGTTAGCGGTCGTGCAGCTTCCCCAGGAGATATGACCCCATGCCTGTACGGGGTGGGACGTGCAAAGAGAGAGAAGAGAAAGAGTGAGGACTCCTGTGTTGTCGAGGACAACGACGCTGTCCGTGTGCTGAGTCAGCAGCCGGCGCAGGGTCAGCAGGGAGTTACAGCGTGTTTCCGAACCAATCAGTGGTTCGGGAACATGCTGTAGGTCTGCACGAGCTTCTTGGGTTATCGGTCCTGAAGTTCCTCCAGAAGATACGGCCCCATGCCTGTAGCCTGTAGGTGTGAGAATAGAGAAGAGAAAACACATGCCCAATCCAGGCAAGATACGGTGGGGAACACGCTGTAGGTCTGCACGAGCTTCTTAGCGACTGTAACGCTCGTCCAAGAGGTAAGTGCCCAAGCCTGTAAGGAGTGGGAGTGGGGAGCAGAGAGAAGAAAACACACATGCCGAATCTTGGGGAAACGAGGTGAGCATCATTCTATTCTCCATAATCATGCCACTTCTTTGTCTCACCTGGTGCATTGTCTCACCTGACCCCGTCCCCGTCCCTGGCATGGGTAAAAAGCTTCCAGATTCTCGCTGCCTTCCGCCTCCCTGTCAATCATCGCCATGATCGCGTCCTGCTGTGCGCGCTGGTCAAATCCTAACACCAGAGGGACCCCGTGCCTCCGGCCACAGAGTGGCAGAGGTAAAACGCCTCGAGATTCTCCCTGCCCTCCGCCTCCCTATCAATCATCTCCATGATCGCCTCCTGCTGCACGTGCGCCTGGTCGAACCAGAGAAGCAGCAATGGACCCCTCCATTGACTCACCTGACCCAGTCCCTCCAGCCACAGAGTGGCAGAGGTAGAAGGCTTCCAAATTCTCGCTCCCCTCCGCCTCCCTATCAATCATCTCCATGATCGCCTCCTGCTGCACGTGCGCCTGGTTGGCTGAAGGTCTTTTCTCCCCTCACCCCGTGCCTTGTCTCACCTGACCCCGTGCCTCCAGCCACGGAATGGCAGAGGTAGAAGGCTTCTAGATTCTCGCTCCCCTCCGCCTCCCTATCGAACATCTCCATGATCGCCTCCTGCTGCTGCATGCACGCCTAGTCAGTTTACTCTCTTGTCTCACCTGACCCCGTGCCTCCAGCCACAGAGTGGCAGAGGTAAAAAGCTTCAAGGTTCTCGCTGCCCTCCGCCTCTCGGTCAATCATCTCCATAATCGCCTCCTGCTGCGCGCGCGCCTGGTCGAACCCACTCGCCCAGTTGTTCCCCGCGCCTCCCCCGTGTTCCGCCACGTACACGTTCTCCGCGTTGAAGAGCGAGCGGAACTCGCCCGCCTGGATGCCCTTCACCACGCGCGGCTCGAGATCCAGCAGCACGGAGCGCGGGATGTAGTGCTGGTCGTCCGCCTGATAGAAGAATACGTCCTTGCGGTCGTCGCCCTGGTTGTGATAATTGCGGGGGGAAGAAGAGAGGCAGGGGGAAACCGAGAGGAACGAGCGCGGGATGTAGTGCTGATCGTCCGCCTGATAGAAGAACACGTCCTTGCGGTCGTCGCCCTGTTTGTGATAGTGTGCGGAGAAGGGGGGTGAGGAAGAGAGGGGGGGACCGAGCAGAAGGAGGGCGGGATGTAATGCTGGTCGTCCGCCTGATAGAAGAACACGTCCTTGCGATCGTCGCCCTGTTAGTGATAGTGTGCGGAGAAGGGGGGTGAGGAAGAGAGGGGGGGACCGAGCAGAAGGAGGGCGGGATGTAATGCTGGTCGTCCGCCTGATAGAAGAACACGTCCTTTCGGTCGTCGCCCTGGTTGTGATGGCGGAATGGGAGGGATGGGGGGGAGAGCGGGAAAGGAGCGCGGGATGTTGCGCTGATTGTCCGCTTGATGGAACAAGTGAGTCCCTGAATCGTCATCTGATCAATGACCATCCAATCAACGGTCATGCCAACGGTCATCCCATCAACATGTCATGCCATCAACGGTCACCTCAAAACCGTCTCACCTGCGTCGCGAAGTCCTGCAGGTTGCCATCCAGCCCAATGCCGTGCTCCAAGCACAGCTGTCGCCAGAATTCGCTCGCCACCTGGTTACCACACTGCCCGACCTGAAGCGTTACAATCTCTCCTGGCATCCTCACAGTCACGGACCGTCACCGGCACAGATCGGCTAATGTTTTGACAGTTTACGAACTTCCCCAGCCTTTTCTAGAGTACGTTAAAGACAAGTAGAGATCCCAAACGTTCCCTCGAGTTCCAGAGCCTTCTTTCGCGTTCGAGATCAGCTAATTGGAGCTTCTATGAAGATCGACATGGCGATGAGCCTGTGAGAGCGACTAATCACACGGACTCCGGACTGAAACGTAAATTGCAAAGCCTGGGAATCCGTGGAATCTCTGATTCAATGGAACTGCATTCCAGAACCGCCAGCGACAACCCGTCTGACTAACCCAACTTCTGCGAGTATAACTGCCGGAAACAACAGATCCTCCTGACGTGTAAGCAACGCGGCATTCACGCATGCAGTCCTCCTTTCTACCGACTAGGCAGAGGTCTTCGAGGCTGGAAAACTCGGAATGCCAGGAATATTGTTCCCGCCAGTGGGGAATTCCTGGAATGCTTGTGTGCGATTCACGAGCAGTCGAAACAATCGAGGCTGGAGGATCCAAGGCTCCAGAAAATCGAGTAGCGCGTACATTCCAAAAACTTCAAATTTGAATGAAGCACAGGCTTTACATTGAAAACTACCGTCATACCCCGGATATACCCCCATGGGGGGCAATAATAAAACAGTTTTTTTCAGGGGGGTGGGCTTATAATCGAGTAAATTTATAAGCGCCGGCGTTTATAAAATGACATATATATTTTTTCTATTTTTTAACACCAAACTGTAGATCTCGTGCTTGCCTTTCCAATCGAGTCGAAGTTACATGGGGTCATCTGTGAAATTCTCGCGCGCGCTGGGAGATACACCCAATCTGACTCACATCCAGCTCCTGACAGCTCCTGACAGCTCCTGCTGACTGGACCCGCATCCAGTGGAGGGTCCGAATGTGAAGGGAACCGAATCTGCAACACATCCGCCTGCTAAAGTAAAAATCGTTACAGCATTTTGAACACATTTCAATTTTTTAAGTTTACGTGCGCTTATAATAAAACAAGTTTTTTCAGGGGGTGCGCTTATAATCGAGCAGCGGATATAAGCGCCATGCGCCAATTAAAAGCGCCAGGCGCTTATCCAAGGGTGGCGCTTATATCCGGGGTATGACGGTACCAGTGATTCAAATCCTTTCTCCACTTACCAGTATTACTGAACCTGCACATGGATAGAAGCTAAATTAGGTAGTATATCACAGCATACACTACATTCACATTACGAATGTAACCAAGAAAACCGACTATACACGGAGAAATATACCTAAAACTGAGCCCCAAAAAACCTGCCATAACTCAAACCATAAAGAGTGCTCTTCTGAAGCCATGCCAGAAACTCATGCATCCAAGCGCTCCAGTGCTGAAATATATTGCAAACAACAAAAAATGGAGAGAAAAAGGGGTGGTTAAAAAGGTACAGTACATCAGCGAATAGAATAGAAACAGGAGTTGCATACGTGCATGCATGCATGTGGGTAAGATTGTGTATGTGTGTGTGAAAGGGAGATAGTAGAAAAAAAAAAGTCAAAAAAAATCAGCACCACTGTGAAAATAGTGCCTCCCTATCAGGTCCACAAGCACCATGAGCACTACAGTGTACAAGACCCTGAGCATCCAGGGAACACGATCCTGGTGCATTGAGAGTGCAGATATCCTTCTGATACTATTACGCAGCTTCTCTATCAGGTCCACATGAGCCATGAGCATTGCAGAAAAGCCCATGCATTCAGAAAGGAAGCAGAAATACAAATAACAAAGCAACCCACAAGAACAGAACTTACTGTTGCAAGTGAGAAGCTTCTCGATCAGGTCCACGTGAGTCAGGAGAAGTAACCCGCGCGTTCAGAAAGGAAGCAGAAACACATATGAAGAAACAGATAGGTACCACGATCCAGTGCTTTAAGAGAACGGAACTTACTGTTGTAATTGAGCAGCTTCTCGATCAGGTCCACGTGAGTCATGAGCATGCGCCGGCAGCAGTAGCGCACAAGTCCCAGAGCGTCCAAAGCGTCACTGTAGTAGGAAATGAAGGGAAGGAAGGAAACGGAATACATATTGAGAATTCTCTAAAGTGACTCAGATATTGCCAGCAGCGGTAGGGCACGAGACCCAGAAAGTCCAGAGCAGGAAATGACTGGGAGGGAAGGAAACGGGATGTCTGTGTCTATGGCAGGGGATCTGATCAGACAAAGAGAATATGGCCGAGAAAGGGATGGGGCAGAGACATTGAATAAATCCTAAATTTCCCTTCTAGCTTTGCAAACAGGAAATGAATTGTCCTTAGCGCGTGTCAATACCCACCCTTCACTGTAGTCTGCTTGGAGAAGGTCGAGGTACATGTCCCACTTGTTGCCAATCACCTGACAGCAGCAAGTCCGACAGCCGTGTCAGGGTGATATACGGAACCGGGTGAGGAGAGAAGAAAACAGCGTCACGAATATAAGAAGCGAAGAATCGACGGTATAGTTCAAGGTACAAATTAAAAGGGAGAAAAACTTCACTGGAAACATAGAAAATCCAGGGTCGGGGGACTAGGGTCGGGGATCAGGGTTTGGGAGGAGAATTCACAAAAGAAGTGGAGAAACGTCAGCGCATGTTTGAATATTGTGCTATCTACTCGCTTGAGAAGCCGCCAACATGATAGACGTAGGAAAGAGCCATATCCGTTCAAGGGCTTCAAGAACACATACGGACCGACGAACCTTTCCGCACGTGAAGCACCGAACGGGGATGATCATCGTGCTCCGCTAGATGTAGGCTTTTTGGTCTGACCGTTTGTACACCTAGCCGGTCTCAAGAAACCGCAAGGAAATGACGAACCGTGTCGACGCTACAAAACCTGTTCCGGAATTTTCGCACAGGGCCTTATGCACTGAGCAAAAGCGAGACCTTCTACGCGCCAACGTGTTCCAGGCGCTCATGCACCAGCAAGCTTTAGATGGACCACCGAGTAAACAGGGCAGTGCTGCAGATGAAGCTGAAATAGATAGCTCCAGCTAGCGACCATCACATGCGCTTTTGTGCGCAATGTAGAGGGAAGGGCCTGTTCGGAGACACGCAGTTTGTCATCATGTGCAGGGGTTCAGTTCGAGCGCAGTAGAGTTACCACTCAGGTGCAGTTGTTCTCTACACTTCAACAAATTAACTGAAACATAAATTATAATTCCATCACACTGCCACAAGGTGTCTGTTTCATGATCATTCTTAATTGGAAACGCACCAAACCGCTAAACATGCGTTCAGATCGTTCTAGCATCTTACTGAACCGCACAAGTTTGAACCCTTGCACCACACCCTAATTCACCTGAAGCTTTGTACCTCTTAGCGAAGCCCCACCACCACCTCCAACGTCCACCCCCCTCCCTTGTCCGCCGCCGCATTAGTCGGCGTGACACGCGTTGCTCCATTCGCTTCTCACCTCACATCTCCGAGGGAGCAGTTTAGTGATTGCTGACCTCGGAAAGTTTCAGTTATCGCTGTCACCACGTCATTACCCTTTCCGTCACCAACATCATCCGTCGAACTTTTCGATCGTCTCTCTCCGTCCATCGCACTTTAAACTCCATTGTCGTTAGTCACCGAACCTTCCGATCTTATGGCGTATCTTCGCCAGGTCACCACGAGGCTCGGCTCTTCGTCTCTGGAGGAGGCTCGGCACCGAGGCTTAGATCTGTTTCGCGAGACCTGTCGCGCGTTACCGAGCATTATGTTTCGCTACAACCTTGACGAAGTCATCACGCGACAGGAGCTGCGCTCGCGAATCGCCAACGAGTTTCGGCGACACAAGGACGTCGAGAATCCCAAGGTGTGACTTCGCTAGTCGATCACCAGAGACCCTCTCCCCGCCAATCACATGCATTCACCACTCTTCACAAATTATTTTTCGTAGGCAGGAAAACACAGAACGCGGTTTGAATGAAGTATTTGTGGCAGCAACGTCCTCTGTGATTTTTGTTCCCAAGCAAGGCTGTACGAGCCTCGTACTACGAGGAGTGATATAGACTGGAGTGCGTCAGTGCTTTGGACTGCATCAGTGCACTCTCTTGCTGGCCCCTTGGGGTGTGGAGAGAGAATGTTGGGACGGCGAATCTAAAGTCGGCTCTTATAGTTGCATTCTGGACTGTGTTAGCTCAGTGTTTCCTCCCCTTGAGATGTAGAGAGTGAATGGCTGGACGGCATTTAGGAAAGAGGGTACTGCCTTTGCGAACTGATTGTATGACAATCTTTCGGTCTCAGGTTCTCTCTCTGCTGGTTGTGGCTCTGCCTCTCTATAGTCACTCCTCCCTGCCTTCAGGTCACCAGACCTGTTTTCTGCCCATATTCGGGCGTCAAATCCAAGGAGGGGCCTTGAATCTGCCTGAACCACGAAACCAAACATAGCACCCAGCTTATCAGTGTCCAGCTTAGAGCCCACTCCTTCAAGTTCACAACCCTCCGTTTCCCCCTCGAAGATCATAGACCTACAGGGCAAGGAGGTGCAAGGGGCGTTCTTGACTCAGTCAGTCAGTCAAACAGTGGCTCTACAGTGAAACCCAGCGTATATTACATGTGCATGCATTTACATTAAATAAAAAATGCCCTTTTCTCCCTGTCAGGTCATCGATCTGCTTAGGGAAGGGCAAGGAGGAGCTGTTGAAACTCCCCAACCACGCAAAGCAGCGGTCAAGTCAACCCAGCTCATCATCCATGTATTCTGTGTATTACCTTCCCTTGCCCCCGTCAGGTGATTGATCTGATGGTGGTGATGGGCAAGGAGGAGGTGGTGAATTTCCTCAACTGCTCAAAGCAGGAATGCTGTCAACTGAGCATGCGACATTTACAACTTCATCCCCTTAATTCCCCCTTTCTTTCCCTCAGGTGATCGATCTTATGGTGGTGAAGGGCAAGGAGGAGCTGGTGAATTTCCTCAACCACTCGAGCAGGAATGCTGTCAACTGAGCCCTCCTACACTACACGTGACTCTTCATCCCCTCTATAAGCC